GTTACTGAGTTGGCTGGGAGGGAGTTGCCAAGAGGTTTGAGTGAAGGAGACTAGGAATCCAGGATTGAGTCAGAGAGCTCATTTGAGTACTAGATCCTAATTCCAAAACCCATGATCAGGTTTGAGTCTCTGCTCCTCTGACTGAGACACCCCAAGACAGGGTCAGCCAAGGGGTCCATTATTTCCTCCTAGGTTTAGTGTTCAGTAATGATAATCATGAGATCCTGAAGCAGGTTAGGACCCCGTATTATAAACAAAACACTTCTGTAGATTTATGGTGGAGTCACTGCATATCAGCTAGCTTTAAAAAATTGTATATTTTTAGTTTTTCAGATCATAAATATGTTGCACATCTACTATATTCAAATAGAGAAACACATAATAGAAAAAGTAAAATGCATCTATTTTTTCTATATTGAAAAAATAGAAATGGAATTTTTGGAAGACTAAATCGTATTGTAAATTGAGGGATTTATATATTTTTAAAAATATTAAAATGAAGTTTTCAGGGAAGCGCAAAAACATTAGATATCACATTCTAAAAGAAAGGGTTGGAGTATTGTGTGAAATTTTCAAAGAAATTGCCAAAAACCATTCACAGAACTCGTAAAATCCTTCATTCACAATAAGGGCATGTAAGTGTTAGGGACTGGAGATTGCACACGGTGGTAGCAAATAGATGCTGAAATCCCAGGGGTTTAGAAAAAGTAATTTTCTTGTTCACATGAAGTCCACTGAGAACTGAGTGACTCTCCAGGGTAACTCCCCTCCAAACACTCATTCAGGGATCCAGCTTGTTTCCATCTTGTGGCTTCACCATCTCAGCCTATGTCCCCCAAGGTCACCATGGCAAAAATACAGATAGCTTGGAAGATCTGCTTGGAAAATACAGATCTGCTCTTCCATACATTAGTCTGGAAGTGACTGCTTATAGCCTATTGGCAAGAGTTAGCATTGTTACAGTGGCTAACAAATAGGACTTAAATAATGGTAGCTCTTACAATTGCAGTTACTGGAAAAAAGCATTTTTGAATGGCGGGATATGAGTTCATCATGTATAATTACCATAATTAGAGCGTTACCCTAATGTAAGACATTTCTATAATTTCCATTTTTAACTATCATAAATAGTACATAACGAAAGACATAATATATCTTTATGTAAATCGTTGTCTTAATATCTGATTATTTCCTAGTAGATTAGTGGGGTTAAAGGATATGGACATTTTAAAACTCCTGATACATATATCCAAACTCTTTGCTAGAAATGTCACGCTAATTTATCCTATCACCAGCAATGTAAAAAACATGCTTGACTTATCAAAATTACACAAGTAGTGAATGCTACCTTAAAAAAATAAATAGGCAACATTGACTCTTGCACATTTGAATTTGGTGCATTTTGTACCTGTCCTATCAGTACATTCACTCACATAATTGCAATGATCAGAGAACTGACTTGCCTCTTCCATTAAAATGTAAGCCTCTGAATTAAGGGGCCATAGATATCTTTTCCAGCCACGGGTTTCCAACACTTAGCCCAGTGTCTTGCACATAGTTGGAACATAATAAATGTTTGTTATAATATTACAGGTGAAAAGTCTATCTTTAGTGTTCTAACTTTGCTTTTTTATTATTTATCTTGTTTTTTTTTTCATGTTTATTATCCAGTTGGATTTCTTCTTTGAATTTTCCTCTTAATTCCTTTACCATTTTTGTACTGATGTGTATATGGTTTTTCTCAACAATTAGTACACATTCTTGAAATAATAATGCTATTAATCTGTTATCACATTTGTTTCAAATATTTCCCAGATTTATCCTTTAATTAAATAAGGTTTTTAATAAACATTTTTTAAAAAAAGTATGTGTCAAATCTCTCAATACTTGTTTCTGATAGTGAGAATTCTATTCCCCTAGCCTCATGTTTCCATGAGGGGACGCCCTCTCTCTTTCCCCCTTCACTTCTCATCAGGGGAAGAAGTATGACATCATGTGAAATTCTGAATTCTCATCCTCTGTGGACTCAGTTCTCAAGGAGGTCTGACTACCAAGCTCCACACTGAAGCTCATAGGCACAGGCTTAGAACCTGCAGGAGAGTCTCAGCCTGATCTCCCGGTAATTAGGTGGTTACGATGAATACTGAGGATAATAGAGTCTGGCTTGAAGAGATATAAGCTTTGTTCCCCTGATAAGTCTTAACAATTATGATCTGATTCCTATGTTTCTTCTGAATCAGTTCTGAACTTGGAGTAGGGAGAGAATATAATGATCCCTTAGTAAACTCTATCATTTTCACTTGTGCTTTGTACAACTATTTTTATGTTTGAAGGTCTTTCCCAACTAAGACTGAATAAATATTTGCATATATTTTCCACTTGGATTTTTATAGTTTATTTTTAAATGTTTCTCATAAAATTTAATTTTACAGTAAGATACAGAAGTAATTAGCATTACTGCAGAATGGTAAATATAGAAAATCATAAAGGGAAAAATTAAATCCATACTTAATTTTTATACTGTGTATCCTCTATTTCCAAAATTTTTGACATGTATGTTGTTTTGTAGGCTTAACCATGTTTAATCAGTTTCAGTGTTTACTGTCAGTTCTTTTACATTAGAACTTCCTTCTTCTTGAATTTTTATTTTTTATTATTTTTAATTTTCTTTATTTATTTTTATCTTAGGGGGAGAGAGAGAGAGTGAGTGTGAGCAGGAGAGGGGCAGAGAAAAAGAAAGAGACAGAGACAGAGGGAGAATCACCAAGCAGGCACTATGCTCCACGCAGAACCTGACCAGGGGCTTGATCCCAAAACCCTGGGATCAAGACCTGAGATGAAATCAAGAGTCAGATGCTCAACTGACTGAGCCATTCAGGCACCCCTGAATTTTTATTTATTTATTTTTGATTTATCTCTTGTTGAATTGGAGAATACAATACACATGGAAAATACCTTTACAGTGTACTTTCTGAATGTCTTCCTGTTGCTTCACATGGGAGCCAGAACTGAACTCTGTAGCATACTCCCAGTAGTTTTCAACTTGGCAGCATTCTGCTCTTTCCCCTCCTCTCAAGCCCTGTGGACTCTATTTCTTTTTATTTTGTGGCAATTACTGTGGCAAGGGAGAAAACTGAGTCCTAATTTTTGTTACAATGCAGGCAATGTGTGTTTTCTCTTTGAGCTTGTTTGGAGGTTCTAACAGGCGAGTGCAGCTACTTGTACACCCCTGACCCAAGAATTATCCTCCTCTATCCGGGAGGGTCGTCCTCTTTTATCAAGGGCGCAGCTTCAGGAGGGACTCACGTGGAGTGGTGAGGGAGGAAGGGAACACCCGCCTAGCCAGCCACATCAGCCGAATCAACCCTGGCGATCAATGGGGTGACAGATGTTGCAGCCAGATCGCCCTCACTTCCATGTATTTTCTCTCTGAATGCAAGTCTGTCTTCATTTAAGTCCTTCGAAAAATTACCCAGAATTTGTCTAGCTATGGATCTTTCTTAATAATTTTTGACTGGAGCACAAATGACGAATTCAGTCTGCACATTCTGAGGGGGTTCTTTTAGGGTCTAGAGTTTTCTTAAAATGTCTTTGGTCATGCCTTATATTGCAATTACCTAATATTCTTTCTCAGGAACTTCCATATTTATTTCTCATTGTTTTCATCTTAGTCTTTCTTTTGCAAGAGTGTTTCAAGTTTGCCCTCAATATCACTGATTCAACTTCCTATTGGGTCAATTCTACTCTTTACCTTTTCCACACTGTACGTTAATTCTACTGACACATCTTAATGAAAGCATTGATTATTTCATAATCTGGGGCTCATTCTCAACTCATTTGGCTCTATCCTTAAGCTTTTCTGTCCTCCACATGTATCTTTCTGAAGATACCAAGAATTTCCCTAAAATGATCACTTTTACTGGTTTGTTCTTTACCAGAGTCTTCAGATAAATGCTTTGTTTTCCTTGAATTTCCTACATACCTTATTTAGGAGCAGTCTACTTAATCTTGGTTCTTAAAAGTAAGCAGAGTGGACAGTCTGCCCTTGCCTCTCTGCTCCCTGGCCTCTCAGTGCTGGTAGAATCCCCCTACTTCTACCTATAGTCAGAGGGCAGTTGGTAGGAACAACACTTCATTTAATTTCACTGTCTAACAGGCATTCTCCTAGGACTGAGATTTGTTCTACTCTTACTTTAACTCACTGGTTCTCTTCTAATTTGGACAGTTCTTAAAAACATCTAGTCTTTGGGGTTGGAGCTTCTTTTGAAGCTTATCATCTTACTCATGGCCCTGTCTTTGTCCTAGTTCTTCTCAAAGGACGGGACTTCTACATCTAATAACCTGACCCGAGTCTCTTTATGTTAATAACACTCTTTAGGCAGAACTTAAAGATTTAAGGGGATAAGGGTTTATTTGTCCAGGACTGACTTTTGGAGGCTAGTTTTCTAGAAAAGAAAATGGACTTTAGCAAATTCCAAGGAAACCATTCAGGTTCAGTGCTTTTAAGGTAATCAGTTCTGATCTACTGGAAAGGCAGTACCTCTCTCCTGACAGGGGAGAGATTGGTGCTTCCCAACTATAAATGCCTTTATGGCAAATCTTGCTATTTTTATGCCATATCCTATGGCTGCAGTCATAAGGCAGAGACCTCAGGCCCCTCCCCTTTCTCTTCTTCCCCTCTGCTGATCATGCATGGGAGGGGCTATGCTAGGTCAAATCACGAATGCTGAGATGCTGGGTAAGACCTGTATTAAGGCTCTGCCACATCATGTTGCTATTGTGTCTGTCCCCAGTCACACCAGGGGTGTGACCACACTTCTCTAAACATATAGCATCCAATGAAAGGGCAATGGGCACCAGCACACCTGCTACTGTTCCTGTGGCCGTGAGTTCTCTCAGAGCAAGGCTGTTCTAGCAGGCCTGCTGTGAGTGCTGCTGACCAATTATCTTGTTAGCATGGCAGTTGTCCCAGCAAACTGGGCATCTGTCCAGGCCCTTACCACGGCCTTCTGGAAGCAAGTCAGATGACTGGAAATAAATTGAAGACCAAGATTGGAGTGGGAAGAGTCTGCTAGTGGTGTTGTGGCCAGCCTTCAAGGAGGCCAAGGAGTGACTATTAGCAGAAACAAATTTTAAAAAATCCTAAGTAGTGGGAGGCCTATAGGGTTCAGACTCTCAGTTATAGGATTCCTTGTTTCCTTTTTTTGTGATATTGGAGGGAGTTGCCTTGGATGGGTCGGATGCTTCACTAAGAGGAAAGCTGAACTCTTGCCTTTCCTAAAGTTCATGCAAAAAAAAAAAAACACACACACACACACAAAAAGGGATGTCTTCTACTAAAAAGGAGAGAAAATTAGGGAACATCAGTAACACAAGGATAAGTAGGCTTCTGAATTCCAACTCCTTTTCATGAGATCAAGACGATAAGGGGGACAGTCCCTTACAATGGTGGGCTTCTCCACTGATCTGTTGCTGGATCTACCTTCCATTACTGGATATATCAGGGGAGAGTGGAAGCCACTCCAATGTGTCTTCACAACACGACTCTGCTCCTGGTGCCTTCCGGCCCCTGGCAAACTGCAATCTGCACATGGAGCTGACTGTCGAAAGTATTCTAGGACCCGAACTGGGCAAGCCGATCAGGACAACTCCTTTCTTCAGAAGTTCCTCTGTCATTGGGAGAGCTTAGGATCAGTGCTGTAGAATCTGGTTAGCCATTACTCAATCCTTGTGCTAACATCACAGATGATGGCTTCCTGAACTGGAAGATGTACATTGTCTAAGCTCTTCCTACACTGGTCTTCCCCTGCCTGTTTTTAGTGGCCATGATCAGCACTCTGGGGTTGTCACCCAACATCTATATCTAATTATCCTTTTGGTCTTCCACAGCACAGTTTGGACTCAAAGCCCTTCTGGGTTGAAATGGAATGGGTTGCTGCCAGTAAGAGATGCTCTTTATAAGCCATGGACTGAACTGGAAGAGGAAGAACAGACAAATGGGTGGACAGAAATTAATGGTTAACTTGCCCAAGACTGGCTCTGCAGGCTAGCCTTTCAGAAAGGAGTATGGCCTCCTGCAAGCCTCCATAGAAACCAGTTAGCCTCAGTACTAAGTCCATTAATCTGGCCAAAAGCAAGGCTTGGACCCAGATCCTGAATCACTGGAAGTGGGGAAAGGGGAAAAAGTGTTGCTTCTTGCTCAGCTGTGAATGTTGACGTGGTCATTTCTGCCCAAGTTTGCTATCCCTACCCCCAAACCCAATAAAACCACAACTGCAAGGCTTGGACCCCAGTATCCTAATCATGCCAAGTAAATGGGTTGGTGCTGGACCCAATCAGTAATGCTGATCTGGCAGAAGAGGACTGAGGTTACAGCTCTGCCATGTCATCATGCCATTGTTGTCCTAGACCCAGATCATCCCAGGGGAGGAGCCAGTGTTTCCTTAATCATGTCTCTTAAAAAACCCTCTCTCCCAGTACCTGACAGCTGGCCTTGCTAGACCTCTGTGTGCTGCTCTAGAAGGTATGGACATATCTCCTACTGACATAGTGTCTGAGAGTTTTCTCCAATCCTCCACAGATGTGGTGTGAATGCGGCTGGTCCATTTTTCCTTACAAATATGTCACAGTTCTGAAAGAAGATATAGCCATTGATTTGCTACAAGTATTTGTCAGCCCATGACTATTTATGCTTGACACCCCAGCTATAGTCTGAAGATACCTGACATGAAGAGTCACACTGCCAACCCTTTAGCCTATGGAAATCAGGCCACATTGTATACTAGGGCCTGATCTTTAACAGCAGTGGGAACAAGGACCTCTGCTCTACTCTGGCCAGGGGGCTCTGGGTGAAGCTCTGGTCACATATGTGCCAGTGGGCTGCACACTGGCCCTGACTGCACCCAGGTGCCCAGTCCCTGTGACTATGGCTTCTGCTCATGTTCATTTGCTCTATAGTTCCCTGAGGGTTCTGGAGCCATGCCCTGGACTACAGCCTGCTTCGTTGGGCCCTGACAACCTGCCCTTTCCCATCTGCCGGCTGGTATCCTGCTTTAACCTGAATGGGCACCCCTGGAATCAGGATGCTGCCACCTGCCCCTGAGCACAGCTGCTGCCTAGCTGTTGCTGTGGGGCCTCCATTCGCTTGTCTGGACCAATCAGCTCAGATTTGTGGATGCTATACCTCCATCACCTCAGGGGGAGCCCTACAGCCAGGTGAGTCCTCACTGCACTCTAGCCACACATTCTAAGTAGTCCTAGTTTACCCGGATTACAAAAGCTGCACAGATACTTTTCACCATTGCTAAGCAACACTCAAAGTCCGTCTCTAGAATTTTCAGCAACATCAACGCAGTTATTTTATCCATCAGGCAATAAAGGCATGGTTCTCAGGGCCTATGAACTGATCAAGGGCATAGAAAAATATTTTAGACCTGACAAAAAAGTGATTGCAAACAAAAAACACAACCTAATTTAAAAATAATTTCATGGGCAAAATATTCTATTTGCTGTGGAATATGGGTGCATTTTATCATGCTATAGGGTGTGACACCTAACTATGAGCAAGCCAAGGACCTGCAAATGTAATCTCACAGCAGCCCAGCCCTCATATTTCCCAAACTCATCCTCATTTGCAGTCACTAAAATTATATGGGCAACCACGGTGGCACGGCTGCTGAGTAAATGGGTAGATTAATGAATAAATAAGGGAAGCAATGCATAAATCCTCCAACAGAAATGCATTCAGATATTTTAAAAAATCAGGAGGGAAACTGGAAGTTGATGTTTAATGGGTATTGAGTTTCCGTTTTGTGAAGTTCTGAAGACAGATCACATGACAGTGTGAATATACTAAACACTGAGCTGCACACTTAGATGTTGAGATGGTAAATTTTGTTATGCATTTTTTCTGCAATAATTTTTTAAAAATCAAACTGAATTTTAAAAATCAGAATTAAAATTGATACAGAAATTCAGAATATACCTATGATAGCTATTTGAATCTCACTGGGCCACTCTTAATATTTTCACCAATGTAGCCCTGACTTCTTCAGCCTTATTATCATATATTATTTCTTATTTCTTTTGTGACTTTTTTGGGGACTAGAAGTGGACACTTTAATTGATCTGATTTGTTACCACAGATGACAGAAAATTAGGGCCCCAATTACAGAAACAAAACAAAACAAAAAACGATTTTTATTGTATTCAGTTGCGG